TTTCTTTTTTTTTTTTCTTTTTAATTTTGTAGATTTTTTTTTTTTTTTTTTTTTTTTGCTATAGGGCACATGTGCTCACCAGAGACAGAGACCGAAAGTGGAAAATCACCCTCCGGGGGGATGGCCACACCACAATTCCTTCTCCTCCGTTCTACTCAGGATTTTGGACATGCATGCACATGCACCCAGTGTCCTCACAGTATTTTTATAAGATTTTTTGAAAAGCACCCTAGGAGGGACCAGCAGTTAGCGTAATGGCTATGTCGCTGGACTCCCATGTAGTTGACCACGGTTCGCGTCCCGGACCTGGTGGCTTAAAACTCACGCCGGGCGCGTGTGCGTGTGTGCCCAAGATCCCGAGAGGAGAACGGAGGAGGAGGGACTGCAGCATGGCCATCCCTCCTGGGGGTGATTTCTCACTTTCTGTCTTTATGTCTCTCTCTGTTTGTCTGGCGAGCACACGCGCCCTATGGCAAAAATCTCTCCAAAAAAAAAAAAGCACCCTAGGAAACACAAATAATATAACAAATATAGAATAAAAATTACTAGCCCTAGCAAGTCCTAATACCTCATAAGAAAATACTCTGCTAGCTTTGTAGCTATCTTTTTGTAACATGCTAAAACTTTTAGCAGAAACTTACTGAATAAAATAACCAGGGATACATAAATTGGGTTCTTAGAGTCAGCCAAGATCTTTAACACATTAAACGCACTCGCGGTGCCTGCAGACTGGGACGGGAAGCTGGGGGAGCTCTGCCTGTCTGACTCAGTGGGTTCCGAGTATTTGGAACAATGCCCTGCACATTGGCAAGGTGTTTACTGGAATACATTCTGTCCCCATCTGTTGCAAGCCAAGCACTCTTTAATATGGGAAATGGTATGACAAGAAATTTAGTAAACTGGAACTTTCAGGCTATGGGTTGAAAGATGTCAAAACTGGGTCCCTGTTGATATCTCCAATTTTCTCTGGCAGAAGGACCAGAGTGGGAATACTCGGCTCTTGTTGCGGGCACCACGTTCTTTACCCCTTGCCTGAATTTTCCAGGAAAAAACTGCTTACTCACCTCCATTGTTACACAAGAAAATGGAAGCTGGCGCCAGAGGGAGGCACAGAGATAGGGCGAGTGCGGGTAGGAATGGGGTGTGGTGGCTTTAATAGCAGGGCAAAGGGTATCTTCAGCAAAGGAATGAAGACGGACGTAATTACCAGTGGCCACTTTTAGGAAGCAGTGCCTCGGTTTCTACGTCGTGCTCTCAGCTTCACACACCTCCTGTTCTATTTCAGCCATCGGGTAAATAGAGGCCGTGCCCTCCGTGGGGAAACGAGGTAGGCAGGTGGGCCCTCACTGAGCACACGCTGAACTGCGCACTTGCCACGCTGAGTCCTGCTAAGCAGGCACAAAGGCGACAGGCAATCCGGCACCTGCCTTAGACCAGTGGCTCTCAGCTCGGGTAATCATGATCCTTCCTTCCCTCGGGGACATCTGGCAACGTCTAGAGACGCTGTGGGTTACCATGACCCAGGCAGGCGGGTGGGTGGGGCATTAGCATGTAGTGGGTCAAGGAGCACCCTGCAATGCACAGGGAGCCCCCAAACCCAGGGACATAGCTGAGCACCCTGCAGTGCACAGGGAGCCCCCAAACCCAGGGACATTGCTGAGCACCCTGCAATGCACAGGGAGCCCCCAAATCCAGGGACATAGCTGAGCAGTGCACAGGGAGCCCCCAAACCCAGGAGTTTCTGGGCCCCAAATGTCAACGGCGCTGAGACTGGGAAAGCCTGCCTTAAAGGGGCTCCCTGGCCGGAGGCAGGAGTGTGGGGAAAGGGGCTGAGACAGCAGAAGGGTCTTGGCTTTTAGACAAAAGAAAACTAAAGCACGCTATTATTTCAATTAGCAATAATCGTGTCTCCAAAAAACCTCGCTGGCTACGCTACTGCCCATGCGCAAAGCTAAGCAGACTATCATTCCCAGTCTCTCCTGGGTTAGAACGGAGTGGTTTTCTCAAGATTTATGTGGACTACATCATCCTGGGGTCAGAAAAGAGCACTACACTAAACTGCTCTGGGACATCTCTCTTGACTTCTATGTTACACAGAAAGTTGTCTGGCTTCTGCTAGATCAGCGGGGACAAAGAAGAGCCCAGAGGACACAATTCATCCGGAAAACAAAACACCACGCATGAAATTCCAGCACTTCACCAAAACATAGGCCAGCTACAGTGACAGGAGATTCGGCATGAACACCCTCATTAACAGCTGCCTCCAGAGAGCAGAGAGACAGTGACTATAAAGCCTGTATATCCCTGTACATACGAGAAGCTTGTACAAGTTTTACCTGCTCCCTTTCCACAGACGAAGAAACTGAGGCTCAGAGAGAAGTGCTTCCTGCGAAGTCACACACAGGGGCAGTGGCAGAGCTGGCTTTTCAATCCAGACCCCGCGTGCCCGAGGGTTCTTGGTTCTTCGCTCCCCCTGCCTCGTACGAGGATACTGTCACTCTCAGTAGCCTATGTGTTTGTTTAGGGTTGGTGCCAGACAGAAGCATAACGAAAAGAAGGATAAAGGAAAAGGTAAAACTAGCCACATTTGACCGAAAACAAAAAAGATGTATCAGTTACAGTTAAAATAGCACTATACAGGGAAGACACTGTCCCCGGAAGAAAAGAGGAAAACGGGCTCTTTGAAAGTGCTTTATGAAATTTTTCTTTTATCATGAAAACATTCTGCGAGGAGTCTGTGAGAGTCAGAAGGAAGGCAGGTGTGCCTTGGAAACTTCTGGAGAATGGAATATGAATGATACTAAGGGTATGCTCGCAAAAGCCACACTCACAGCAATACTCAGACATGATATTCTGCGGAAGTGGGAATATGAATAAAACAAATTCTTTGCAGGCACTCTAAACATCCTTCGTATACAGGAATTTTTCTTTTTTTAATATATTTTTAGGGCTTTTTTTTTTTTTTTTTTTTAAATTTGCCAGAGGGTGAGTGTGCTTGCCAAAGAGAGACAAAGACACAGAGAGGGAGAGGGATGGTCATGTCGCAATCCCTTTTCCTTTTCTCCCTCCTTTCAAATTTGGGCATGGGGACACGTGTGCCTGGCAAGGCATTTTCACGCCAATGAATTTGGGACTTGAGCTGCATGACTGGCCATGTGGGATCCAGCTGCCTTAACCACCATGTCACGGGCTGGCTCAGTTATAAGGAATTTTCTATATCCATGTGTCATATTATGCCATGCATGTGTAGTCTCATTTGGTCGAGAATGCACTTTATATAGCTCCTCGCTATCACTGCCAACTCCCTGAGTGGAAAACAACATGTTCCTTTCTAACTATGCCACATTTCCATAAAACATATGAAAAAACTGTTATTCCTAGAAGTTTATAAAAACTTATCAACTACTTTGGGAACCAGCAGTTAGCGTAATGGCTATGTCGCTGGACTCCCATGTAGTTTACCGCGGTTCACGTCCCAGACCCGGTGGCTTAAAACTCATGCCGTGTGTGTGCGTGCCCAAGATCTCGAGAAGAGAATGGAGGAGAAGGGATTGTGGCGTGACCATCCCCCCTGGGGGGGTGATTTCTTGCTTTCTGTCTCTGTCTCTGTCTGGCGAGCGCACGTGCCCTATAGCAAAAAACCTCTCAAAAAAACCAAAAAACCAAAAAAACACACACAAACAAAAAAAACAAACTTATCAACTACTTTTATATCTGGAAAAAAAAAAATCGGAAAAATCTACTGTATGTCAAAATAGGATTTCCTTTTTCTTATGGCCTGAGGGTGAAAGGGAGGGAGCGCGTGCCATCACAGGAGCAGTAACAGCTTGTACACTCAGGGCTTACGTGTGTGCCGGGCACTACTAAGTGCTTCCCGTGCGCTGCTTCATTTCCCCCACAACTCTGAAACAGACACCACTGCCCCCTGTTTACAGATGGGGAACGTGAGACTTGGGGAGTGAAGGGACATGTCCAGGTACACACAGCTGCTAAGCTGCAGAGCAGTTTACCCACTGATGACGCTGCAGCTTAAACCTGCTATAACTACGTGTATTAGAAAGCATGAAGCCGGGGCCAGCAGGTGGCATGGTGGTTGAGGTGCTGGACTCCCATAAGGCCAACCACAGTTCAGTCCCAGACCAGTGGCTTGAAACTCACGCTGGGTGCATGCACGTGTGTCCCAAAATCTTAGGAGGAGAAGGGGGTTGCAGCACCTGGGGGGTGCTTTCTCACTTTCCTTCTCGTTGTCTCTCACTGTCTCTTTGAGGCAAGTGCCCATGCCCAATCACAAACACATTAAGCAAAAAGGTATAAAGCCAACTTCGTTTTCTCTTTGCTACTGAACTTTAGGCACTGGCCCCACCGTGGCCTGGTCAGCTAGATTACAATGTCGTGAACTGATTCATATCCTATTACACGCTCACCGTGTACACAGAACCTCCCTCAAGGAACTTAAATGTGAAAATGTACCTTATGCATAAACCCCACTCTTTCTGAGTTTAAAACTACTATAATTTTGAAATGCTAGATCGAAAGTAATTAAGAGATCTGAATATGGAGGAGATAGCCTTCTCTATCTCAACTTGGTTAAGAAGTTCTTGCTGGAAGCAGAGAAATAGCTTCATGTAAGAGTAAACTACAAATGACAAGTGAAAGGCAATAAAACACACCAAAGCAGGACTACAGCGGTAGAAAGAGCAGAGAAAATGAGTGTTACAGAAAAGGTGTCTCTGCAAAGGCTCTGAAGAATTCAAGGTGGAACATTTTGGAAGAATTTTCAAATGACAGTGGCATGGCTAAAACGTCACCTTTGAGGTATGATTTTGGATCAAATATTAGGCAAAGGGTCTCCAGAGGCTGCACAAAGGCCGAAGACTACACAGGCCACACAATCCTTCTCTTGCCAACCATGGAGCCAGCGGGAGGATGCACTAGGCAAACAGATGCACTTTCATGACGTAACCAGAATCAGAACACCCTGGCTTCTCTCAGGGGTCTATGTCTCAAGATAGAAGGGTTGGATTCACGACATAATTTTAGACCTAAAAATAACACCAAACATGTTTTCACAAGAGAGACGGTCAGAGTCTGGTAGTTCTAAGCTGGGAAGTGCTAATGAATATCCTTATGATGGGAAAAATTTAGGCAAAAATGAGTCATCTCCGCTGCCTTTAGATCCAGGAAGGACACACTTTTTTTCAAGGACTCTGCATAAGAACAGGTGGCACAAACTCAAGTCGTAGTAAGGGATCCCCATGCTTCTTCCGTCCCAGCCCCCCCGTTTTACTGCCTCCTGCCTAGCCGAGAGGAAAGGGAAGCGGGGTGAGAGAACCGCAGATGCGAAGGGTCCACGCTGCCTGTCTCGGCAGTCAAAGAGCCAAGCCTGCCTGTCACACCCATCAACGCACGTGCTCACAGACCTCTGTGGTAGCACGGGGCCGCAGTGTAGCCGGCGACTCAGTGTATCTTGATGTGACTGTCCCCATTGTTGGATTATCTTCACCGAAAATGCCAAACTGGGAATGAAAGAGCAAGTGTATCCCTGCTGTCTAGAAGATGTCTCTGCGGACTGAACTGGCGGGCTGCTTACCGTGGTCCAAGACACAAAATACACTGTTCCTCCCGCTGCATCTTCTCCAGGGCTTTGTCAATTCCAATGGGAATGTCATGGTCTTCTCCTTCACCAACAACGAACACGACATCTCTGCAATCGAACATCCTTCCATCACAGCGGCCTTCCAGGTGGACTGAGGGCGAGGAGACAGGACAATCAACAAAGCTGCTCCTCGGGACTGGCCAATTCAGTGAAGGGAGAAGCAAGTGGCCAGCAACGTTGTAAACACCCTCCTCATTTCACCAAGACACGCACATACCAGGGTTATACCCTCTGCCTTGTCAGAGCTTGAGGCACCCAGGCTGAAAGTTTAAGAGCAACCATACACGGGGTGGGAGTTTGTCAAAAAGTTTATGGATATGGGACCAGCAGTTAGCGTAATGGCTATGTTGCTGGACTCCCACGTAGTCGACCGCAGTTTGCATCTCGGACCCGGTAGCTTAAAATTCACACTGGACGCGTGTGTGTGCGTGCCCAAGATTCCGAGAGGAGAATGGAGGAGAAGGGATTGCGGCATGGCCATCCCCCCTGGGGGGTGATTTCTCACTTTCTGTCTCTCTGTCTTTCTGGCGAGTGCACGTACCCTATAGCGAAAACCTCCCCCCCCAAAAAAGTTTATGGATAATATATATAACAACAAAACTATGAATAGACTTCATATTTTTGGTACCAAAATTAATTTGTGTATTAGTTCTATTCTCCCCACAAACTTTCTGAAGTCCCCTCATATCTGTTTTTACCTTTTAGTTTACTTCTTCCATGAGAGAGGGAGCTAGAGAGAGTGGGAGCGAGCAGACACCCCCAACAAGGTCTTCATGCCATAATCTGACCCTTGGCCTCAGCCAGCCAGGACCTTGGCTTGTACATAGACGCCAGTGTGTACAGGGAGACCTCAGGGCATGAACCTGGGACCTTTTCATATGGTCTTAGCATCACAGAGTGTTGTATACCCTGGGTTATGGCAGCTGGCCTTACATTTTTTTAAGGTAGATTTATAAATTACTGATAACTCTGTCAATAATTTAGCGGATTAATAAAACACACTGGAAACAGGTTTACCAGCAGCCTGCTATATGACAGGTTTACCCACCGATTATACAGGGTCAAGATACACTGAATTGTTTAATAGATAATTATCAAAATGCCACACATTTAATATCATATAAATAACAGCTTAAATATCTGTACCTGCATTTCAGCCTCAGATACCTGGACAAAAAACCCTACTGAATGGTTTTCAGCCATGCTGCAATTCTCCCCACACCCTCCCGGCTGGCCAGGACCACAGACACAGGCAAGGGCACCTGGCAAGCTCAGGTCAACGGGGCTCTGAGTCTGGGCCCCACGTGGTGCTGGAGGGGTGCCGTGTCACCCCACTTCCCACCTCCATGGCTGGTCCAGGAGCTCTTTCTTCTGCAGGAGTCGGAATCTCATTCATAAATATATTTACATAAAATGGAAACACATTAATAAAAATATCCAGCTATATCTTTTAGTGGACGTAATAAATATAAAGTGTGAAGGAACTGACAGTCTAACAAAACTTCACAAAGCAAATTACTTATGCTAAGTTCCTTGAAATGTCAAGTGAGGAGGTCAATTTCTTGGGGCTTAATTTCCTCAGCTCATTCTCAGGACAATTTCCCATCAGAGGAGAGATTTATCTTATTTTAAGACTGAATAATAAAATGCATATAGGGCTGGCCAGTGGCATGGTGGTTAAAGGTGCTGGACTCCCACATGGGCGGTCGCGGTTCAAGTCCTGGACCTGGCGGCTTGCTTTCTCACTTTCCCTCTCTGGTCAAATTAAAATAAAAATAAATGAACATCAATAAATTTTTTTAATTAAAAAATAAAATGCATGTAGATATGTATCTTTCTTCATCAGTTAGACTATGTTTTTCTAGCCAAAATAATTCTAGGAAGCTTTGCAGCTAATTTTAATATTATGGTATTTATTCCTTTCCATTAAAGTCTTTAACTCAATATGAGAAATGATGGCTTATATGATAGTGTAACAGTTACCAAGCAGTATCATAATTTGTCTTTCACTAGAAATAATATAATGGCCTACATTCAAATCTAGAGATTTCCTAAAACACTTTGTTTCTATGACTGGTTGATCTACTTTAGATCAGTAACTGCTTTACAGAGACTAAAACCTCACTCATTTGGTTATACTCATTCCATGTCTAATAAGACAATTACTATTTTTCAAATACAAATTCAATTCCACCTTACTCTACTTTTGAAATTCATGATCTCCAAGGTCCTTTGATGCCCTGAACTTCGATGGTTCTATGGCCCAGTAATATAGCTCACAGTAAAGAGCCAGACACCAAGTTGAAGCGAATCCTGTAGTTAATCATTTGATCAGATTACCTTTAGCCCAGGTCTAAGAAATCAGAGACATTCTGAAAAGTAAACAACAGTGGTGTGGACAGTAGGGGCTAAAATGTCAGTAGGATATTTATGCTTTAAAGCTTTCTACCTCTTTCTACTTTGCCATAACGAATGCCATCCTGATTGGCTGCCATTGCAGCCAGAAGATGGGGTCTAGGAAGCGTGGGTCAGAGAGGGCCAGATTCCTGAGTCAGCTCCTCCAAAGGCTAGAGCTAGACCGCCTCTCAGGGTGGGCCTGGCAACTGGCATTTTGTTCTGTGTTTCACCTCTTGAATGTAGATGATTCCTTCTGTCAGACTTTTTTAAAAATTATTTTTATTTAACTTTACTTACTTACGTTTTCTTTGATCACAGGGACAGAGTAAGAGTTAGAGAAAGAGGGAAAGTGAGAAAGCAAACTACTAGGTCCAGGACTCAAACCATGGCTGACCATGTGGGGGTCCAGTGCCCTTAACCACCACACTACCTGCCGGCCCACCATACTCACTTTTATAATGCTCTAGATAAAATCAAACAGCAAATTGGAAGTTGCTCTGAACTGAAAAATATGTAAAATAAATTAAATTTTATTATTAGTTTTTAAAGAATTATTTAATTTTATTATTATTCTTTTTTAAAATTTACTACAGGGCATTTGGGTTCACTATTGGGGGAGGAGAGAGAGAAAGCAAGCCACCTGGTCCAGGATCCGAAATGCAGTTGGCCATGTGGGAGTCCAGTGCTTTAACTGACATACCACCCGCTGGCCCCTTAAACTTTATTATTATTATTTTTAGTTTGTTTCTTCCACAAGAAAGAAACAGTGTGTGCGTGTGTATGTGTGTGTGTGTGTGCACGCACGCACCGATAGGATCTTGACACTACTGTCCACCCCTCAGCCTCAGCCAGTCCCAGATGATGGGCAAAGGTGCCGAGCATATGCAGGGATGACTGGACATGAACTAGTGTGCCTCCATGTGGGCCAGCTCTGCACAGCACCATGTTCTACCACTGCACAACCATCTGCTCCCAACATCTTTCTTCTTTTTTTTTTTTTAGGTTGTTGCTATAGGGTACATGTGCTTGCCAGAGACAGACAGAGAGGGAAAGTGGGAAATCACTCCCTGGAGGAGATGGCCATGCACAATCCCTTCTCCTCCGTTCTCCTCTTGGGATTTTGGGCATGCACGCACACATGCCTAGCGTGATTTTCAAGCTGTCGAACCATGGGCAGCCATCTGGGAATCCAGCTCCTTAACCACCATGCCCAACATTTAATTTGTGAGAGGGCATGTGTGCTCCTAGAATTGTAGAGAGGGCAAGAAAGCACTCTACATTGGGAATGGTCATATTGCAATCCCTTCTCCATTTCTCCCTCTTTTTGGGATCTTAGACACATATACACATGCACCTGATGGAATTTTTTTTTAAGTTTTTCCTATAGGGACCAGCAGATGGCATAATGGTTACGTTGCTGGACTCCCACAGGTTGACCGTGGTTCGAGTCCTGACCCGTGGGCTTAAAACGCATGCTGGGCACGTGTGCATGTATGCCCAAAATCCCGAGAAGAGAATGGAGAAAAGGAGATTGTGGCATGGCTGTCCTCCCTGGGGGGTGATTCCTCTTTGTCTGTCTCTGTCTGTCTCTCTGGTGAGCACATATGCCTTGTAGCAAAAATCTCCAAAAAATTTTCTTTTAAAAAGTCAAGTTTTGGGGACCAGCAGGTGGCATGGTGGTTAAGGTGCTGGACACTCCCACATGAAAAACCACTATTTTTTTTTTTTTCTCCCTGATTTTTTTTTTTTTTTTTGGAGAGGTTTTTCTATAGGGCGCATGTGCTCGCCAGACAGACAGAGACAGAAAGTGAGAAATCACCCCCAGGGGGGATGGTCATGCCGCAATCCCTTCTCCTCCATTCTCCTCTCAGGATCTTCGGCACGTACACACACGTGCCTGGCATGAGTTTTAAGTCACTGGGTCCGGGATGTGAACCGCGGTTGACTACGTGGGAGTCCAGCGACACAGCCATTACGCTAACTGCTCGTCCGCCAACCATGGTTTGAGTCCTGGACCCAGTGGCTGCTTTCTTTCTTTCCCTCTCTCTTGCTCTCTGTGTCTCTCTCTGGCCAAATTAAATGAATGAATAAATAAAATTAAATAATTCTTTTAAAATCAAAAAGTCAAGTTTTTGTTATAGAGTGTATGCGCTCACCAGAGAGAGACACAGAGAGAAATCACTTCTCCCAAAGGGGACAGCCATGCCACAATCTCTTTCCCCATTCCTCTGGGATTTGGGGCATGTACATACATGTGCCTGGGGAGCTTCCCAAGTAGCTGGGTCCATGATTTGAACCTCACTGCCAGCTTTGTGGGATCCAGCACCTTAACCTCCACACCACCTGCTAGCCTGCACCTGATGTGATTTTTAAGCCACCGGGTCTAAGATTTAATTCACGCGGTTGGCCATGTGGGCTCCACCTTCCTTAGCCACCAGGTCCTAAGGCTGCCCGATTGTTTTCAAATACATATTACTACAGAGGTTGTGCAAGGAGTCTAAGACTTCAGGTATTTTCATTACAATACAAACTTATGTTTCTAAAGGGGTTGAGTGTTTGTAAAAGTTTACATTCCTTAACTTTTTAAATATGCCCCAGACATTTTAATTTAGATGAATGGGAGGCATTTTTCATGAAAAGAGATTTGCTGAGCGAAGTAAATTTCAGCCCACCTACTGTGGACGCCACTGGTAT